GAGACAGGAGAGCAGGAGTGAGACAGGAGAGCAGGAGTGAGACAGGAGAGCAGGAGTGAGACATGAGCGGAAGAGTGAGACAGGAGCAGTGAGACATGAGCGGAAGAGTGAGACAGGAGAGGAGAAGTGAGACGGGAGAGGAGACGTGAGATGGGAGGGGAGACGTGAGATGGGAGAGGAGAAGTGAGACGAGAGTGGACGAGTGAGACAGGAGAGGAGGAGTGAGACAGAAGAGGAGGAGTGAGACATGAGAGGAGGAGTGAGACAGGAGTTAGACAGAAGAGGAGGAGTGAGACAGGAGAGGATGAGTGAGACAGGAGAGGATGATTGAGACAGAAGAGGAGGAGTGAGACAGGAGAGGAGGAGTGAGACAGGAGAGAAGTGAGACAGAAGAGGAGGAGTGAGACAGACGAGGAGGAGTGAGACAGGAGAAGATGATTGAGACAGAAGAGGAGGAGTGAGACAGGAGTGAGACAGGAGAGAAGTGAGACAGGAGTGAGACAGAAGAGGAGGAGTGAGACAGGAAAGGAGGAGTGAGACAGGAAAGGAGGAGTGAGACAGGAGAGGATGATTGAGACAGAAGAGGAGGAGTGAGACAATAGGGGGAGTGAGAAAGGAGAGGAGGAGTGAGACAGAATAGGGGGAGTGAGACATAAGAGGAGGAGTGAGAAATGAGAGGAGTGAGACAGGAATGAGACAGAAGAGGAGGAGTGAGACAGAAGAGTGGGACAGGACAGGATGAATGAGACAGGAGATGAGGAGTGAGACAGGAGATAAGGAATAAGACAGGAGTGAGACAGAAGAGGGGGCGTGAAACAGAAGAGGAGGAGTGAGACAGAAGAGGAGTGAGACAGGAGGATGATTGAGACAGAGGAAGAGGAGTGAGACAGAAGAGGAGGAGTGAGACAGAAGAGGAGGAGTGAGACAGGAGTGAGACAGAAGAGGAGGAGTGAGACAGGAGAGTAGTGAGACAAGAGAGGATGAGTGAGACAGAATAGGAGGAGTGAGACAGAATAGGAGGAGTGAGACAGAATAGGAGGAGTGAGACAGAATAGGAGGAGTGAGACGGGGAAAAACAAAAATTACAGTTATGAGTGTTTGTGATTAATTTTTGGAACAATCTGACTTGTAGTCCTGGCCTGGTGGAACCGAGATGAAGAAGCTATTTATAGAGCAAGCAAGTTACACCACTCTATGTAATGTCAAGTTTTGATGTAAATCTGTATAATTGATAATATTCTGGGGGGGAAGGGGGGTGGGCTTAAAGCATGTTTTGCCCAGGGGTCCCTGAAATTACAATCTGGCCTTGCTTTTCACCCAAGTGCCCAAAACATACAGCTGCAGATCAGATGACACAACTATAAAGTCAATCGTCGATCTGCGACCTAGGGTGTCCTGGTGCCACATGCACTTATGGACACCCTTATGTTTGAACATAGTGTTTGTGATGCACAAACTGTGACTAGAACAGAAGTCCAACAACAGAACACTGCTCAGGTTCAGATCCCAATCACTCTCCAGGTCACACTGTTGTTACCCAAATGGGCATTGAAGTCTCCCAGCAGAATAAAGGAACCCCCAACTAGAGCACCTTCCAGCACCCCTGCTAAGGACTCCAAGAAGACTGGATACCCCCGAGCAACCATATGGTGTATAGGCACAAATGACTGTCAGAGCCTGTCTCCCCACCTGAAGGTGCAGGGAAGCTACCTGTTGTAGCCTACTGGGGTAGACTCCAACACAAAGGCACTAAGTCAGGGGGCCAGTAGTGGACCCACACCAACTTGGCACCTCTCACCATGGGCTACTCCAGAGTAGTTTCCAGCCCCTCTTGAGGAGATTGGTTCCGGAGCCAATGCTGTGCATTGAGGTAAGTCCAACTATATCTAGCTGGTACCTCTCAACCTCACACACAAGCTCAAGCTCCTTCTCCACCAGAGAGGTAGCGTTCCATATCCCAAGTGCCAGCTTTGGTAGGCCAGGTTCAGAGCGCCAAAGTCCCCGCATTTGGTTACTGCCCATGGAATCATGCACCCGACTCGTACGGCCCCTCCTGTAGGTGGTGGTCCCCCAATAAGGCAAACCCATGTAGTTCATTCGAGCTGAGCCCGACTGGGCCAATAGGTAGAGACCCGGCCACTTGCCAATGAGCTCCTCCCCCACCCAGGAGGGTGGGGGCCCCAGTAATCCACGTCTGGGCAAGGGACACAGATTTTGTTTTTGATATGTCCATATTTGCTCCATCTACATAATTTCTGTCCTTCGTCAATGGATGCAGTTATTCAGTTTTGAACCTAGATTAAATGAGGGAGGAAGAAAGAGAGATCAGACATAAAGTAGGAGTAGGTATAGAGTGACATGTTGGATTGTGATTGGTCCAAACACAAACGTTAAATATTCTTCCAGCGCCCACACTACATATTCTCTTTACTAATGAAGAAGCTATTTAAATGTAATTTTGCTGATGTTTTATGTGTGTGTGTGTTAAAAAATATCTGTTAATACATTGGCAGATTTTAATAAAACTCTCAAAATAAAAAAATATATATATAACAGCTAAGCTAGTTGACCTTGGAGGAAAAAAAGGAAACAACTCAGTCGTTTTAAATTATTGAGCTAAATATCTGAAACAAAGCACTGAAGTTTGGCATGCAAGGCAGTGGGCGATATGTTTTTGCAGCATTTTTCTGGCAATACAACATGTCTTGTAAAGAAATCTGTGATCAATAAATGGAAGTCTGAATAAAAAAGCAGAAAACCTGTTGATTCTCTTCTCTTCTAAAAAAAACTATTCTCATCTCTGACTCCAGTCAGCAGGCCTCAGAGTAACAGACCCAGCCTGCCCT